TGGGAAATACTGTTTTAAAGCATGGGAATGTTCTTTTGAACTTATAAGAAGGAAAGGAAAGAGCACCTTTAAGTGTGGTTATGGTGGTGGACATGATGGTTTTACCCTTCAGGGTCAAATCCTTTACCTTTGGAGTTTGAAGAGTTTATTTTATCAGATCATTCCAAGCACAAGAAGTTGATTTATACTATCACTCCAGATGCCTCTAAAAACCAGAATGTCAGTGTGGCATTCTGTTGTTCCATGAGGCCATATGCTGAGTGATCAGGAACATAAGTCCTAAAGTCCAATAGACCCTGATTCAAACCCCAGCTCCCAGCTTACTTCCATGTGACTTCTTGTGAGCCTCACATAATAATACTATCTACCTCTTGAATTAAACCTTATAAAATACTTAGTTCAGGAAGCTAATATTTGAGCAGAAAATCAGAACTTACATATACTGTGTCTCGTGGTAAATACTTCCAGGGTGTGACCTTGCCTAGAGATATAGCCCTCTTCTACTGTAGAATAGCTGTTTAACTGAAGAACATAGAGCTGGGAGCAAACATTGACTGTGATTGAGGTGTGTAATTGTATCACCATAAATTTTCTACAAACTTTTTCACAAGAGAAGAACTGCAGCTTCTAGCGGGTTTTATGAATTTTGTTCCACGACTAATGAGGAAATGCCAGGGGGTCATATTGCTACTAGGTCTCTTATCCATTGTAGAGTTGTCCATCCTGCAGAAAGGAGGGTGTGACAGTGATGTAGAGCTGGGGCCGTGCAGCATGAGAAGGGGAAGAAGGAGATTATGAGGAGCATTCAGCAAGAACAATGGAAAGTGGACGTTTTTAAAGTGTGGAACTTGGGGATCCCTGAGTGGCTCAGCAGTTTAGCGCCTGCCTTTGGCACAGGGTGTGATCCTGGAGTCCCGGGATCGAGTCCCATGAGTCCCATGTCAGGCTCCCTGCATGAAGCCTGCTTCTCTCTCTCTCTCTCTCTCTCTCTCTCTCTCTCTCTCTCTCTTTCTCTGTGTGTCTGTCATGAATAAATAAATACAATCTTTAAAAAAAATAAAGTGTGGAACTTGTGGGACAGAAAATTATGCCCCAAGATTTTTGGGATGTTCATTATAGTGCATGATATAAAACCCCTGAGTACCTCTGCTTTAAGGAAACCCACAGGAAAGGTCTACATTATGTTTCAAGGTTTCTAACATCAGATTTGTGTTTCCTTTGAGTGCCCTGTCATGCTTATCCTGAGACACATCGGGCTGTGGTATTTATTAAGGTTACAATGACCAGACTTCTTTTTTCTTCTTTCATTCGATTTTTGAAGGTCTCCTTTATTGCTGCTTCTCACCAGTCACTAGACTCTTTATTCATTGTAACAGCATGTGAATCTTATCTCAAGATATATTGCAGTTTATAATATATTATCTTATTTATATATTTTATTAAATTATCGTTTCTCTTACATATTAGATAAGCAATTTCACAAGATTTAGGACTTACTTTCATTTCCATCAGAGAGTGCTGTACTTTGAAATAATGTTTCAGAGTTTGTTATTTCTGGGAAGACTTCCCATATAGGGCTAATTCCACTATACATAAATTATCAGTATCCAGAAGCTACAGTCTGCCTGTCATCAAACCACATTCTTTTTTTTTTTTTTATCAAACCACATTCTGAGTCAATTTTCAGGAAATCCAGTACTTTCTAACCTATTCAGAGAGTTAAAGAGTAAGGCCACATAGATTTAAGTCATGTAGATTTGAGCCATGTAGATGTAGATTTGAGCACTTGCCATATTTTAATTATTTTCAAATAAAAGCTTAGAGAGAACCAATATGACTTGGTAGTCCTTGCTTTCCACTGTTTGATCCAAAAAAAAAAAATGGATAAAATGGTTACAATAAATCATTGTGCTCTTTACTCACTTGTTCACCTTTTAGAATCAAAGAGAAACAATAATTTGGATACTACAGTTTTTATACAGAAGACAAAACAGGAAGTTCTGACTGGAATATATTTAAAATAGGATCAGGCTTGTATCAGTGGAGAGAAGTATTATTCAAACTTTACAGTTTGCTTCTTACAATTTTTGTTAAGATTGTCACTGAGAGCATTTCTGGAAAAGGGGAACAACTCAATTAAACAGCAAATATCACCAAGAAATTTTCTTGAACTATACTTCAGAGGTGATGGGTGGGCTCCATGGGAGAGGATAGGGTGAGGGAAGAATGTCAGAGCCCAGACTATCAACAGAGATGCCCTGTCAACAGAATGGTCTAAGAACAAAGAGCTCCCAGGTTCTGTTTTTCTCTCCCACATTGTTACTGGTTTCCTAATTTTGGCAGATTGGATGGCCTAGTTTTTGGATCAGAAGATATGGTCACCATACTTATAGAGGAATATAGACTACCCTCCACAGAGGGAACACAGTAAAAGGAAGGCTAAAGAAGATTTGGAGTTTAAGAGAGAAGGGAAGTTTCATGGGCTTGTTTTTAAGGGTAAGGGTAACCAAACACTTGGGTAGGCAAAGAAGAGTCCACGGAGAGAAGGACTGATGGGTAGATAACCATTGAGGCAAGTTGAATAGGCTTAATCACAAACCTAGGTGGGCATTGGAGAGGAGACACACACCTTTCTCAGAGCAGGAGGAGAAAATGAAAAACATAGAGGCATCTAAACTAATGGAAGGAGTCCCTGACACCTGGCAGTTATCATAGTGTAGTAAACATGTGGTAAGCATTAAACACGGTAGCTACATTTGTGGTGAGCACAGCATCATGTTTAAACTTGCGAAATCACTGTTGTATGCCTGAAACTAACATGATGTTGTATGTCACCTACACACAAATAAAGACAATTTTAAAAAAAGAAATGATCAAACAAATGTAAGGAAAACAAAGATAGGTTTGGGAGTGTGAAAAGAATAGAAAGGCTACACCACCAAAATAAAGAAGACAGTGAGTTATTGAGGAAAATAAACAAATAAATTCATGTAAGCCTGAAGCTGCCCTGAGGGCCAGCTGAAGTGAGATAACACAAATTTGCAAGGATCCCATCACTGAGTAGCAGCAATGTCAGTGTCATCTTACAGCAGCCCAGAAGTCAAGGACGAATGGTTGAGTTTAGGACTGAAGATTGGAAAGTACATGTGGTAGAAGTTCAGGGAGACTTGGGAGAGCATCCTGGCTGCTGTGGGTGCCATGTTAAAATGCTGACCATGCATCCAAACCAAGAGCAAGGAAATGGAAGTCTACCAAGGACAGAGAAGGTTTAGGAGAAGGGTCGAAGGGAAAAGGCAGTCAAATTCAAGGCCAAGAACTTCAGAGTTCAGTATTACAGAGATGGAGCATTTGGAGTGACGATTCCAAGGTTGTCTGTAGTAGAGATTTAAAAAAATTTTTTTATTTATTTATGATAGTCACAGCGAGAGATAGAGAGAGAGAGAGAGAGAGAGGCAGAGACACAGGCAGAGGGAGAAGCAGGCTCCATGCACCGGGAGCCCGACATGGGATTCGATCCCGGGTCTCCAGGATCGCACCCTGGGCCAAAGGCAGGCGCCAAACCGCTGTGCCACCCAGGGATCCCTGCAGTAGAGATTTAAAAAAGAGTCAAGGATGCTGAGATCTGAACGTCGATGAAGTCTTCCTTATGAACTGTGCTGTTGTTCAGTGTCCAAGACAGGTGACAGTTGGCAGTGAGGAATGCCACACCATCAAAAGGGTTTTATTCTGCAAAAGGGTCAGTGAGAATGTTTTAAGAAATTAAGAATGTAAGAAAGATTCTGGGGAAGTAGAATGTGGTCGCCTCATGAAGCACTATGAAGGGGGGCTGGCCAAAGAGGGACTGCTGGGAAGGAAAAGGTGGGAACTGGACAAGGAATGGAAGCAGCTTGGCCTTCAGGGCAGCATCTCCTGAAGGGCTCCAAGCAGCGCTAGTCCCACAGAGTGGCCCAGTAGGTGTGCTATAAAGAGGGCTCTGGGGAACACTGGATTAAGTAACGCAAATGGATTTCTTTACCGCAAGACCCCTTAGAGCCTTAAACAATGTACCTATGTGCCTTGTGTGTTTCCAGAAGGAGGATTTATGACATACGTGAGATTTCCCCAGTTTAGCCACAAAACTGATCATACTTTGGAAAATTTTGTTGTAGGGCTCATCAGAGATTTTCAAAGCTTTTTGAACAGATGGATGGATGGTTAAGCAGATGAATGAATGAATGGCTTGTGGGTAGGAAATGAGACAGATCAGGGAAGTGGTCAAAATAATGTGAATCTATGCGAAGCAAATAATTTGGAGCCTATGAATGCATTTGGTACTTCTGTCTAGTGCACTTGCTGTGCTCTCTCCCTCACAGCCTTCTTACTGCCACTTGTGGAATAGGAAATAAGATTTATTTGTTTAGACACATCTCCTTATTACCTGTTCCTACCTTACTTTCATAGGTGGTTCTGTCCCTGCAAACCCCAAATGGTTCTCAGCAGAATCAGTCTTTGAGGGTGGAATGTCAGCAGGTAGATCATGAAGTTTTGGACCTTGTGTGCATTGGGTTCCAGGGATCTCCTGATGTTTACACACTATGTGCACATGTCCACATACATCCTCCACCCCCAGCCTTCTTTCCGCTTCCATCTCGGTTGCTGTACCCACACCCACCTTCATTTCTCTTCACTCTGATGCTTAGCATTGGAGGATGAGGAAACAAATGGTACATTTGACTACTACTCTGCAAAGTGTCATAGTGAACTGGTTAGAGCATGGTGTGTGAGATCAATTCTCCTTCTGAAAATGGGGAACTGAGCCTTTCCCCACCCCCCAGGGGGCAGGAGCATACAGGCAGGACAGTTATCTGAAGGGTCTCCAAAACAAGAAGGGTAGTAGAGAACTATTCACCAAGCAAAAACTTGGTTAAGAAACCTGTAAGATTTGAAATGGTTCTCAAGTAAATATCTGTTGTGGGGATATCAACCTTGGTGTCACCACAACTTTTGTTGCTTTATTTTAGAACGCCAGCCAGGCACCTCCATGGCCAATTCCAGTGCCCTCCCTTCAAGTTCCGCTGGAATCAGCAAGGAGCTGATTGACTTGCAGCCTCTCATTCAGTTCCCAGAGGAAGTCGCCAGCATCCTGATGGAGCAGGAACAGAACATTTACCGAAGGGTCTTACCAGTTGACTATCTTTACTTCTTGACCCGGGACTTGGGCACTCCAGAATGCCAGACACCCCTGCCCTGCCTCAAAGCATCCATCTCAGCTTCAATTCTTAGCTCCCAGAACGGAGAGCACAATGCCCTGGAAGATCTTGTGATGAGATTTAATGAGGTAAGAAGCCACTTGGAGATGTACTTGTAATCGAAACTCTAGTAAGTGATTTTTTAAATACGTTTCTCCTTTTAGGTTTGTGTGTTATCGGTGTCTCATCTACCAGTTGTTCTTGCCACTTTCATGATGGCTGCTTTCTTCCCAAGCAATGAGATAGACAACACATTGTTGTCACTTCACTCCAAACTGCACTAGGCCTAACCGTTCCTATCCTCACCTCTGTCCATGGGCCTAAATAAATATTTAGGTCCCTTTGGACCACCAGTCCCTGCTCTCTTCTCCCCTCCCCCTGTCAAAATATTCTCCCTGGAGTCATTTTCCAGTATTCTTCCAACTTGTTCCTACAGGTGCTTTTAAAACCAAATGTCTCAATTTTGAGTTCTGACAATGTGATCCCTGGCCATGGGATCTGTTTAACCTACCCCCTCTTCCACTGTGAGGGCTCCTCAGCAGAAATTTAAAAACCAGTGCACCTGGGCCAGAAGCATGGGGAGGAACGTGGGTTTGAGGGGCAATCAATTGCCCCACTCCTGTTCCCTGTATCCCATCAAGATCCTCAATCCTAGAAAGTTCCTCCAAGACCTTACCAGAAGCCAATGCTGGAGGGGAGAGCTGTGACCAGAGTCTGGGAAGGCACTTGAGAGGAAGGCACTATAAGAGGTCTAGGGGCTGGAGGAAAAGAGCCAATGGTTAGCATGGTGTGCCCCTGGAACAAGGATGAGGGACAGGAAAGAAAGGCAGGTCTCCATCCAGTACTGGGGTCAGGGGGTACTGCGGTCTTGCACTCAAAGAACACTTTCCACAGTATAACCCCACACCAAGAGTTTTCTGTTCTACATTTTATTTCTTAATTTAAGCCTATTTCTTAGGCTTAACACAAGATTTCCATCTGTGTTTGTTGGTTGGTTTAACTCCTCAAATATAATAGTTTCCAAATTTAGTCATCTAGTAAACTACAAGAATGCTGAGGTTGCTCCTGTTCTGTGTTCTGAATATCTCAAATGGATGGAAGGTCAATCCAGTTTGTTACTTAGACCCTTTCCAACTATGGCAGCTCACCTTGCAGCCTCCATAGCCTGCCGATCATGAGCACAATGGTGGTAGTAAATGTCAGTGACCTTGATAAGGCCCAATGGATCCAAAAAGTTTTAGAGGCTGAGCCCAAGCAGTTCTGTGTCCAGACATGCCCCAAACACCATTCCTCAAAGGAAGATCTGTTATCCATAGGAATCGCTGATACCATCTAGCATTGTCATGCTCATCATTTTACATGTATCATTTATTTGTTCTTCATAACCCTGGAAGACAGATACTCTCATTAAGCCCATCTTACCAATAAAGACACTAGGGCACGAGAAGATGAAGTCATTTGCCCAAAGTTACATAGATGATAGGTAGCAATAGTGATATTCAGACCTACATAGTCAGAACCCAGAGCCTGGGCTGCAAACTACTATACTTCTACCACTATCAGGCTCATGTGAAAGGCTGGCACCTCATCCCACTCCAAACTGAGCAAGACAGACTCTCTGGGAGTCCACTTGAGAGCCTGTGAACCACACTACCCTTACATTGCTTTTTAAAATAAATCTGATTTTCTTGATTTTCCCTACTAATAAAAGCAGGATGGAAAATGGAAGTTCCAGAACATTGAGTGTTTTGTGGATATTACCATATGTTGTGTATTGCTTTAAACTTCCAGATCTACTCACTCTCACAGCCTTAGGACCTTACCCTTGTCCATTGTTGTGGTGATTTTAAATTCTACCTGAAATTTGCCTTGCTTGAACTTTTAAAATCTAATTTTAAATTAATTTTGCGGAAAGAAAATTTTAGTTTCTTCTATTCACTCCCATAACCTCAGGAATCAAAGATGAAGCAGTGATTTCACTAATTCAGAGTTAGTGATGATACAAAAGCACAGCTGAGTTAAGGTATGCTTTGGACTATCGCTGAAAATAGTTTAGCTAAGCAACTTCAGAACATAAACAAGACTTCTGGGAAAACACTTAAACTACTTAAGAGAACAGTCTGTTTTCAAGTATTCTCAAGCATCTATTTTCATAGAAATTATGGATACTGATTAAAAATCAGTTTTTTATAGTCACAGGCAGATCCAAGACGACCTCTAGTAGGTAACTCTGGGCTAGCTAAATACTAATTGCTTTATATACCTTAGTGCAGAAAGGCTGCATTACGTTAAAAGAGAATTCTTAAGATTTTTGTTTATTTAGAAGAGTCTTGCCTTCAAAGTAGTGTGGCTTTACTTTCTATAAAGAAAAGAGAAGAAAGGAATTAGCATTTATTTACTAAGTCTTCTGGACTGGCCATTTTCACATTTTTAAATCCTATTTAATCCTCATGATAGTTGTGTAAGGCTGTTACCATTATCCCTGATTCCCAAAGGAAGTGAAACCTTAGTAACAAAACAGATAATGATAGTATTGGATTATAGTTCATAGAATAAGTATTCTTGAGTCCCATACTGGTAAAAATAAATGAATAAATTCATCAGGGAGAGGGGAGGGGAAACTCTTAATTATAAAAGAATCAAATTTAAATGTAGAGGTATGAAAGAAATAGGAAATCGCTTTTAGGACCCCCAGCAATAAATTGTTACATACAAGAACCACTGATGAATGCTAATATTATTGGGCAAAAATATGATGAGAAACAAGATATGTGACTCAGAGCCACAAGGGGCACCTGGCTGACTCAGTTGGTAGAGCAATTGATTGTTGATCTCTGGGTCATGAGTTCAAGCCTCACATTGGATGTAGAGATTACTTAAGGAAACAAAAAAATAAATAAAAAGCCAAAGTATCTCTCCATAAAATATTTATTAATTACAAAAGGAAAAATAGAACAGTGGAAAAACCCAGTAGGCACCACCTTCAGTAAGTGCTCATGATTAACACAACCAGTAATAAGACATATTGACATGTTAACTCTTGCTGTGGCGCACTAAGAAGACCGTGACATCATCTCTATGATGTTCTTGACACGAAGAGAAAAGAAAAAGGCATAACCTAAATCTAATCATGGGGGAAAAAACCATCCAACAACCCCAGGTTGAGGGATATTCTACTCTTCAAGAGTATCAAGGTCATGAAAGGTAAAGACTGAGAAAAACTACCAAAGACTAGAGGAGACAAAGAGACATGACAACAAAATACAGTGGGGGATCCTACTGGATACAGGGCTAGAAAAAAAAGACATTAATGGGGCAACTGGTGAAATTCTCATAAGGGATATGGTTTATTTTGTATTAGAGGATCAATGTTAATTTCCTTGTCTTGACAATGGTACTATGGCTATGAAAGAGGCTAACATTAGGAGAAGCTGGGTGAACTGTATACAGGAACTCTACTATTTTTGCATCTTTTCTGTAAGTCTAAAATTACTTCAAAATAAAATGTTAAAAAAAAATACCAGTGCATCTCAGAGAGGTTAAGTCACTTGGTCAAAGTCACACAGTGGCCAAGTGAATGTCAGGATCCAGATATCTGTCTTCACAGTCGACTCTCTTCTAACACACTTCCTTGCCTCTCCTCTCTGCTTGTTAAATTACCCAGTTCAAGTTTGTAGTAAAACCAGAGTTGCTGATTGAGAATTTAATTAATCTTGAATCTCCTTTCTCTTTTCTCTCTTCCCACTTCCTTTCTAAGTCTCCTTACATTCTATTCTTTTTCTTTTTTCTTTTTTTTTCTTTTTAAAGATTTTTATTTATTCATGAGAGACAGAGAGAGAGAGAGAGAGAGAGAGAGAGAGAGGCAGAGACACAGGCAGAGGGAGAAGCAGGCTCCACGCAGGGAGCCCGATGCAGGACTCGATTCCGGGTCTCCAGGATCATGCCCCAAGCTGAAGGCAGCGCTAAACCACTGAGCCACCGGGGCTGCCTGTCTATTCTTTTTCTATTCCTCTTTCTGTTTCTATTTTTATCTAATCTCCTTTATCATTCATTCATTCATTCATTCATTCATCATTTAAGACTTATTTATTGAGTACCTCCTATGCTATAACCTTCTCTTTTTTTTCACTGTGTCAAACATATTCGTTTAAGAAATTATCAGTATATGATAAAAAATCTACAACATTATAAGACCATACTTTGGTTCTGTCAAAATCGGATACACAAAATAAATGCACTTTCCTCAGTGGAAGGAAGATATATATATATATTGCTTGGAATGCTGGAGAATCTCAAAGACAAGATAGAGAATATTAGCTCCATGGCAGGAGTGCTAGTTGCTTGGGGGAGAGGTAAATGCATTTATTTATGCATTCAATTATTCAGTTAACATATTTTCTGCACTTCTCAGAAACAGGGCACCATGGTGGATAAGCACTGAGGAAAATGAGTAACAGTCTGCGGCTGCCAGAAGCTACCAGTCTTAAATTGTAGTCAGGCACAAATCACTACCAAAAAAGGCAGAAAGTCCGTGCAGTGTGAGTGGCACAGATGTGGGAGCTGAGGTGTCTAGGTGGGTGATCAGAGCCCTCTCTGCTCGCTTTGGAGGTTGGGGCTGGACCTTGAGGTATGGCTGGGATAGAGGGGGGACATCACAGGAAAGGGAGAATATTCCAGACTAAGAAGACAGCCAGTTGATATTATGAGCAAGACTTATTGTCTAGAGAGGAAGCTTGCTCCTGATCGTCAATAGAATATTATTCTGACCTAGAAGTTTCCCAGATTCTAACAACTCTTTACCCAATGACTTAACTGTAATGTGGGGAAAGGAAAGAAAACCCCTGATGCCTTTTGGGCAATGTTGCATAACATTTGTTCTTAGGAAAATATGGTTAAAATGCAATTCAAAGTACAATCATAAAATAACTGAAGAAAATGGCTTACATTAAGGAGGGCCAGGAGATAAATCATTCAAAATCAGTTTAGATTCTGGGTTGGAAAGCAGTGTTTCTCTCCATTCCCCATTTGTACAACATCAGGACTGGTGCACATCAGAGTAACCTCTTCAAAACAGTCAACTCTTTATCCT